GACTCAATTGTTGTGTTCAATTTGAATTCTAATGTCGTCATCACAAATTAGGAATTTATTAATATGTTATGAAAATAATTGAATTAGTATAATCTTGAATTATTAGCAAAGTCTTTTTGGGATGCCCTTAAACCTAGTAATTGAATAGGATGACTTTTAGAGAGAGAGAGAGAGAGAGAGAGAGAGAGACTGGTTTATTGATTTATTATATGATTAATAAATAGAAATAAATGAATTTATTAATATGTTATGAAAATAATATATTAATTAGAAATAGTAATATTTAATTAATAATTAATCATAAATTAGATTAGTTTTATTAATTAAAAGTACAAGGGTTAAAGCGCAGTTGTTCAATAGTTGAACAAGAAAGAGTCTAGAACCTTCCTTGGAAAGAGGTGCACGAAATTAGGGTATTCCAGGGCATCTAAAATATTCCTTGTAAATAAATAGGAAGCTAGATAATTACCAATTTGAATAAATGTTATTTTATTCATTTAGGGTTATCTAGGGTTTCCAAGTTGCACTGTAAAAGGATCCATTAGGATATAATTTTCGGCCACTCCTTCTACTCTAGAGATAGCCAAAATTTAACATCCCTTCTCCTCTCTTAAAAGCTTGTTGTTGCTAGTGTTGGGTGTGAACCATCAGAGGCAAGACATTTGTATTGCTAGCTTCCAAGTTATTGAAGAAAGGATTTTGATTGCTTACTACAACAATCAAAAGCTATGTTTTACCTTATACAATTTTTGATATTACCTAGGGTTAGTGGGTTCTTGTTGTTTAATAGAATGTTACATCAATATTGTTATGACTTAGATCTTTAGGTTGCATGTACCCTTAAGTGTTAAGGATTTATCTGCGTTTATACTTGTAAAACCCATCAATATCATATGGTATGATATAATTACTCATGTATATTTTTTCACATTGGATACCCTTAGACTTATACATATGATTCTAGTTATTTAATTAGAAAAACCAAAACTTATCTTCCATCTCTTTTTGCTAGTGGAGCCGTAGATAGAGAAGGATAGGAGGTTCTTGCCAACCTCCCTCTTACACACTCCTTACTTGTAAGCAACCATGGCTTTGCATTAAATGGAAATATGGTCTATTTGTCTTGCATGTAAGTATAAATAGACGTTCTAGGCTTTCATTTGACTCACTTCTTCCCTTAGAAAGAACCATGACCAAGAGCACCTTACACTCTCCTTATCTTGCCCTTTTAAAGCTAGTTGCAAGTAGTTTGTGTTCATAACTGATTCTCCTTTACTTTTTATTTTAGCTAAGAACTTAAAGGCTTAAGAAATCGCTCTTACAAGAGGTGAACTACCATTGCTTGCCTTACTCTTGGAGGTGCATACTTGTAGAGAATATCAAGCTTCTTGTCATTTTCCATTTACATCAACACCGTAATTCCAAGTGGGTTCAAAGGCTCCAAAGGTTATTATTCTAAAATATCATATTGTTGTTTTAATATTATTCTAACCTATGTAAAATGATCCTTGATGGTTTTGTTTTAAAATGTTCTAAAATAAATTAGTTAGTTTTTTAATGCTTTCATTACCATTTTTATGAAAAACTCTTGGTTTTATGTATCAAACACATAATCGGAGGCACCATGGCGCCTTCTTAAGAGGCGGTCTGCCCCTCACTATAAACCAACATATATATATATATATATATATATATATATATATATATATATATATATATATTTTCAGTTTTTCAACAAATACGATTAATCACTTCTTGCTTCACTCCATCCTTTTACTTTCTTTTGGACTATAAAACTACTGATCTAAGAATGGAGAAAATAGTCGGGACTCGGATGTTACACTTCACCCCTTATTCTCCTTTATCTTGCCGCCTCCAACAACCCTAGTCAGCACTGTCATCCATCTTTTTCCCTTACTCGTAACTGTGCACCACCCAATGCATCCCGCAGAACCAAGGGCGATGTCAACCACCATACATTATGTATCCACTTTGACGAAGCTAATACCATTTCAATTCAAAGTTGAATTCTAGACCAACATCACATAAAGAACAAAATAGGATTTAAATATTCCTAAACAGTCTTTTATAAAGGGTATGGAGACCTTCCCTATCAAATTGTGTTTTAAATTCATGAGGGCAGCATATCCCATAAGAACTCTAAAGTTGAGTGTGCCTCGACGAGAGTAATTCTAAGATAGGTGGCCCACAGGGAAGTTTTCGTTTTAAGAGCCTAAATCGGAAAATATTGTGATACGTGACAAACATGGATGTTGCATGAGACCACCTTTATCTCATATGGTTATCCTAAAGCTACCATCTATGATTGATTTTACTAGCTTTAAAACACTACCTCACACTTCCCAAGAACAAAATCAAAGTTATGTTACACACCACCATTACCTCATTATTATACTTTTAGTTGGCTTAATTTTTAATTTTTATATACAAATAATACGGACAATAATTTGGACTTTCAGGAACATAAGGGTTGCTTATCTAAGCCTAGAATTTGGGATATTTATGATTATGGTTTTTAATTCTTTTATTTGAATGGTAAATAGGAACCATAAAGGTAATCTATTCTATTCTGAGTGGCATTAAAACTTTTGTAGAAGTTATAAGCTCATGTAATTCTCTTTTAATAAAATAGTCAAAACTTAGGAAACATGATGAGTTCTTTTCTTCAGTTATATTTAGGGATGGAAATAAGCCGAATGAACATGAATAAGACTTGTTCATGTTCGTTTGTTTAAGCTTAACTGAACAAATGAACGAACACAAATCCGTAAACAAAAAAATTTCCTTGTTTATATTCGTTCATTATTTAAGAGATTACTTTGTTCATATTCATTTATGTTTGTTCATTAAGGAGCTAAACAAACATAAATGAGCAAATATAAACGAACATAAACAAATAGATGTAAATGAACATAAATGTACATAAACGAACGAACAAAGAAAAAACATAAATGAACTAATCGAAGATAAATAAAGATAAACGGTCATTAACATGCAAACAAAGAACCATACATAAATACTTGTATTATAATAAATCCTACGATAAAAAAAATCAAAAAGTCCTTAAAATATAGTTTTTTTAAATATCTTCTGCAAAACAAAAATCAATATATCTAAACAAATATAGACGAACGAACATAAACAAATGAATATAGACGGATATAAACAAATATAAATGAAATAATATAAACGAACGATTCACGAATATAAATAAGCAAACAATAACAATATTTATGTTTAACATATACAAGCAAACAATAGCGATGTTCATCTTTGTTCATTTATTAAATAAACAAATATAACGAAACTTTCTGTTGAACTCATCACGAGAAATATGTAGAGCGATTAATCTTTTACAGCTCTCATTATATGTTCGCAAACGAAGAAAAGTGAAATGGAAAATAGCTACAAATTTATTTTTATGAGATGACTTCTTAATATGTATTATTAAAATAAGATGGTCGTTGGTGGTTAGATGGACCCATATGTTTAATCATTAAATTGAATTACAGTAAAGATGTCAGAAAAGGACAAAAAAAAAAAAAAAAAGTGTATTCTTATCATCGTTTTAAAAGGCAGACATCATGTTATGGATCATGTTATGATACAAGTTAAAACCACGATAAAAATATCATTTTTTTTTTTTTTTTGTATTTTTCAGTGAGTATAATATTTTTTAAAACTTAATATTTTTGATATAATTATGTAAATACGTGATTTATCTTTTTCATATTAAGTGTTAGTATTATATTTTTTAGAAACTTGATATATTTTATATTATATAATTATGTTTATCTTTTTTTAATGTATATAAAACTATTATGTCTTTAAAAATATCATTGCTTGTCATAGCTTAAAGTTTGACGTTACCGCAAATCTAATCTTACACCATTTAAAACCTTGATTGTTATCGTTTTACGTGAACTTAACATGGTGTCATAGACGATAACTAGGTAAGGACTATATTTGATGGATTTCCAACCATAGAGATCAATTGTATCAATTTTATAAAACTAAGATGGAAGAGTAAATTGCACGAATGATCCCTACGGCTTAGGATAATTTTTATATTTCGTTCCTAACTTATTTTTTTAACTTGGAAGGTTCCTACTTTTTGTTTTTCTTATATGCTTGGTCGCTACTATTTGTTTTTGTTACGTATTTGATCTCTGTCTTATTTAAAAATACTATTATTTAAATAGAAGAAAATGATAAGGTAAGTAAAATAAAGTGAGGAGATGGGGTTGTGGGTATGTTTATTTAAATAAATGGAAAAATCAATGACAAGATAGTCTTTTTATGTAAGATAACAACCAAACGTATAATAAAAACAAATAGTATAAACCTTTCGAATTAAAAAAATAAATTAAGGATCAAACACACAAATTATCCTAAACCATAGGGACCATTCGTGTAATTTACTGAAGATGGAACTTCAATAAATTGTATACTATGGGGACCAAAACTGTAATTCAATGTCATGTTATCATGTATATGCATTGTTATCATAAACAACAAATAAAATATAGTCTATATAAGTTATCAACAAATGAACATTGCTGCTTTTGACAAATTTCCATTTATTTATCATCATATTTTGTTCGGTTTACATTTAGCGTCTTGCTTCACTATTTTGACCTTGATGACCGCCAACATACTTCAAATCAAGAACTAATATTTTAGTCGTAAAATAAGATCAATCTATAAAATAATCAAAATAGTAGATACTACACAATCATACAAATTAATTTCATAATACAATAGCCAAATAAATATTCATTATACACACAAAAGCACGAAATCATTTGTACATAACCAAAGACAAACATAACAATACATGCGTTCCAAATAAGTAAGATATATCACGGCGTAAACTCGATAACTCATTTCTGGATTCTCATCTCTATTATACTTCACTTAAAGATTCTCAAATCCATACTAAGTTCAACAAGTCAAAAACTAAAGGTCAAAAACGAAATTCAACCTAAAGACACTGCACTTTCCTCGTTAGAAACCTCTTCTTGATTTAAAATATCAACTATAGATTGAAGTTCTTGCAAGACTTCTTTCATATTTGGTCTATCCCCTTTCTTCTCTCTCAAACAAGCAAGAGCAAGCTTACAAAACATCTTCACACTAACCACCACTGGGCCAGGCGGCTCCTCCCCAACCAACCGTGGATCCACCACCTCCATAACCGTGCCCGCCCGTTGAGCCACATAAACTGCCAAATTCACATCCTCTTCCCCTCTCTCAAAATCAATCGCCTTTTTAGTAGTCAAAACCTCAAGCAACACAACCCCAAAACTGTAAACATCACTCTTATCAGTTAACTGATAGTTTCTATAATACTCTGGGTCCAAATACCCCAATGTCCCTTGAGCACAGGTTGATACATGGCTCAACCCTGGTCGAGCCAGTCTCGAAAGGCCAAAATCGGAAACTTTTGCATTGAACTCATCATCTAAAAGTATATTAGTTGACTTTATATCACGATGATAAATTGGAGTATGAGCCGAATTGTGAAGATATGCTAACGCTTCGGCGGTTTGTAAACATATTTTTACCCTTAATTGCCAATTTAAAAAGTTGGAGGACTCTTTGTGTAAATGTTGATAAAGGGTACCCTTGGAAATGAACTCATAGATCATTAGTGGCTGTTCGGCTTCAATACAACATCCCAAAAGTTGAACAAGATTCTTGTGGTTGACTTGAGAAAGAATCGCGACTTCATTAAGGACTTGTTGTGTGCTTTTTATGTTTCCTACTTTTGCAGATTTAACGGCTATGATCGTGCCATCTGGCAGATTGCCTTTATAAACTTCACCGAATCCACCGATTCCTAAAATTCGATCTTTTGAAAACCCGTTTGTTGATGTCTTTAATTCTTTTAACGTAAACATTCTTGCGGATTTCATCCCGGAGTTCGATTTGAACAACTCTTCTCTTTTCTTCGCCACCTCTGCTTTCCGGCGAATCCTTCTTGATTTTCCGATTGTCACGGTGGCCATCACCACCGCCGCCACAAAAAACAAGACCACCCCGATCGAAATCTTGACCGGAAACCCGGTTTTTGAGATACCCTTTTTCGAGCAGACTCCGAGGACGTGATCCCAACAATAACGTCGGTTACAAATACATCGGGATATACCCTTTTCGGTAATTTCACATTTGGACTCACCGGAGCAATCGGTTTGAGTTTTACAAACGGGTTCCGGCGGTGGGGCCCACTGAATCTCAACCCCCTCTTCCCATTCTTTTGCGGGTTTTTCATTTTCTAAATTTATAATGCTTCTAAAAGCCCGACAACCGGAGGAATGCAACCGGATCTTGTAAGCCGACGGGAGACCTCCGGCAATGAAAGTACAACATGGGTTGATTGTATTTGCACATTGAAGAACTCGGGCAGGGTCAACCCTGCCCGAGTATTCCAGATACTCATGACAAAGACTTGACCGAGTACAATTAAGAGGGGACACAAGTAAACGAGGGGAACAATTGAAGATGAAAATGGTGTTTTGGGATGATATGTTGAATGGGAGTGATTGGTTTAACCATAGTCCTTCGCTAACCGGGAAATCTTGAGTTATACATTGGTTAGGTAACCATGGTTGAGTTTGGATCACTAGTTTTTGAGTTTGTGGGTTGATTTTGAGGACAAGATATGAAGTTCCATTTAGGGCATTGAAGTATAGTTTTTGATTATGGCATTTGAGAGTGTAATCGGGATTGCCACAATTAGGGTTAGTGCTTAATGGGTATGGGACTTTTTGGAGGCCACAATTGGGACAAATTTTTTGAGAAGAAGAAGAGTAGAAGAAGAAGAAGAAGAAGAAGGAAATGAGAAAGAAAAGAAAAGTCATGGTTTTGGATTTGAAGGGAAAGAGAGAAATTGGAAAGAAATGGGTGTGAAAGGGGTGAAAGATAGAAGGATAAATAAAGGGTAAAAAGATTGGAATAAAGTGGCTTTTTTTTATATAAAATAAAATATGAAAATGTGGTTTAAAGAATCTATGTTGAAAACTACTAAAGTGTGTGGGACTTCAAATGAATTATTTCTATGGAGGAAATGTTTAGAATAAGGAATGCAAATGACAAGACATGACATATTGCATTTGATACCTTTTTTATTACATGTAATGAGGCGAAACTCACAAAAATAGAACGATAAAGATTCATTCTAGAATGTTTGTACGTATAAAAGACAACAATACCCACTTATTTTCATTATAAAAAATAACCCTAGGTAGCTAATTGAGTTCCATCCTGTCTAATCACTGTTAGCTTTTTTTTTTTTTTTTTTATATACATACATAAACAATGAGTTAATAGAAAAAATCAGGAATATATCACTTTTCCATTAACGTTCTAATTTTGACAAATTTGTCTTCATTTATTTTTCCCTCCCCAAACGCGTTTCAATGGTGAAACATAAAAGGAAAATGATTTATAAGCCGAATAACGTTTACAAACCATTTAAAAAGAGAAATTAAATTATTTTTTATTTTTTATGTTTATAATTATTTCTACCCAGTAAAATTATGACAAATCATCATTTAATTTTATTTTATTTAATATATTCATAATATAACCTTAATGAGTTAGTTAAAAAAATATTGAATGATGACACTTATTATAATTTATTGGGTAAGAACATTTGTAGGTATAAAAAATAGAAATCAATTTAATTTCTCATTCGAAAAACCTAAATTATATTTTATCAGCTTAAGAAAATCCAACAAACTTACATTTTATCTAAAAGAACCCAACTAACTTATATTTTTGTTCGATTCTCATTAGGGTCAACCGGCTAATGAAAATCAACTAATAACATCACTTAGGACATGGAATTAAATATAGAAAAATGGTTTGTAAGACCAATAAAGTTTCAAAACCGTTCAAAAACCTCAATCATTGTATGTTCATAAAACCCAACAAAATTAACCTTTAAAAAAAACATACGTGTTTATCCAGTTATCATTAGAAACAATCAAATTCATTAGGTATACAATTAGTTGACAAATAACATGATATTATATTTAATGACATGGAATAAACATATTAGAATTACCCTATATATATATATATATATATATATATATATATATATATATATATATATATATATATATATATATATATATATCGATTATATTTGTGTTCAATCTCTTGTAGTGGATACTTCTTTTTCTTCCGCTCGTTGATGTCCAACTCAAGATCTACAAAAAATATATTTGATATGTAAATTCTTGTGGATATAGAGGTCCTTCTCAGATTTGGACATCTAGAACGGAGGATCATGTAGAGAAAAAAATTCAGGGCATGTTCGAACAGATAAGTAAGTGTGAGTGAACATTTTATCAAGTCCGTCTTCGATCTATGTGTTTGGTTCCTTCAAAAAACAAGAACTTATTAAGATAATAAATCAAATAAGTTCTTGTTTTCGAAGGAACCAAACAAATACATATAAGATGGACATAACAAAGCTTTCAACTACATTTATTCATTTGTTCAGACAATCCTTAAACTTTTTCTCTCGATGATCCTCCGTTCTAGATGTCAAAATCAAGAAGGGTGTCCACATTCTACATTTCTACAAGGATTTGCATCATCAAATATCTTATTTGTAGATCTTGAGTTGAACATCAACGATTGAGAGGAAGAAGAAAAAGTAACCACTACAAGAGATCGAACACAAAAGTCATTAGTTTTTCTTTCTCCAAGCCCTAAATTGATATATAAAGGGCAATTTTAATCCGTTTATCACATGTTATTAAATATAATGTCGTGTCATTTGCCAACTAAATATATACCTAATTAATCTGGTTGTCTCTAATGAGAATTGAATAAAAAAGTAAGTTCATTGAGTTTTTTAGACAAAAGGTTAAGTTCATTAGATTTTTTTGAACAGACAAAATATGATCGAGATTTTTGAACAATTTCGAAACTTCGTTGGTCATACAATTCATTTTCCTGATATCTAATCCCTTGTTTTAAGCCATGTCACTCATTGACTTTCATTAACCGGTTGACTCTAATACTCTAATAAGAATTGAACAAAAAGTATAAGGTAGTTTGACTTATTAGACAAAATGTTAAATTCGTTGGTTTTCGTGGACACACAAAACATAATTAGGGTTTTTTGAATGGTTTGAAAACTTATTGGATTTATAAGTCATTTTCCCAAAAATAAATCCATATCGCTACAAATCTGTGAAAAATCGACATAAAAGTAGAATATGAATATCTATGTAATTGACAAAAGTTCTTGCATTACGGTTTATTATTATATTATTATTATATACCTTCCATGAAACACCATTTTACAAGATCTAAAATCACAAAAAATATGACACGTAGTAGAAAAGTAATGGTAGTCCAAGAACCTACAAAAAGCAGCTTCATGGTCCCGAAGAAAGTGATATAAATAATATTCCAATTTTTATCATGACACGTGTCATCCTCTGATCTTCTCGTTGTACAACAAAAGGCAATATAGAATATTCATGTTACCCTTCAACTATTTTGACAGGAGTCCTACATCAGATAAATTCACATAGAGATTAATTATAAGTATTTTGATTTTTTATTGCAAGGGAAATAACGTTTTTTTGAGTAATTTAATACTTTATACTTACCCAAATGGACTTTGTTTGATGGACAATAATTCAATATCTATCTGCATTGTTTAAAAAAAAAAAAAAAAAAAAAAAAACTTTCGTTACAAAAAAAGATTGAAGAAACTGAAAATTAATTTAGGGAAAAGTGGAGGAAAGGATATTATATGGAATATGTAGAATGATTGTTCAAATGGGGTTAAATTAATTTCAAATATTTGTTAATTATAACATATTACAATTAGTAATCTACCCAATTATAACAATTTTATCCAAATACAAAGCAAATTTTATCGGTGTAATAATGGATTGATAAAAATATATTTGTAAAAAGAATGTTGGTACAAAAAAGGGTAAATTATAGTTTCACAGTTTAACAATTAATACAAATATTTTTCAATTAAAGCTTAAAAGTTTAATATGGGTAAATTTCTAAATGAACCATTTTGGATTTAATACAGTCAAAATCGTTAAATCGGAAAAATGTCATAAACTTTTATGATTTAATACAGTATAAGTGGTTAAACCACAAAATTGTCAAAAACAAAAAGATTTTCTTTAATTTTTCCTATAAAAAACTAATAATAATAACTGAAATAAATGAAAGTACATTGCTATTATTCAAAAGGGACCCACGCCAATCAAGATGTGAATAAAGTCCCTAGTGAATCCGATACACACAGAAATAAGTGACCACAAGATAAAGATATCCACCAACTTTAACTTTTCACATCATGATAAGGGCATTTATGTCATTTCACACTAGTAGTCATACCTCAATGGTTGCATTTGGAGGAATTTCTTGCACACCTTTGCTTCCATAAGCAAGTTCTGGGGGTACAATCAGTAGTCGCTACAAGAATTATAGATCAAATATTCAAATATTCAAAATCCAGGGGGCATTTGGTATTAGATAAACACTACAGGGGCTGGTTTTGACAATTGCTGAAAGTTTAGGGTACCTGTCCTCCTACTCGCATGCCTTGGACACCTAAATCTAACCCTTTAAGGACATTTCCTCTTTCAGATTCACCAACATCAAACCCGTAAGGCTGAAAAAATATAATGAAATTCGGTCAACATTTTTCATTTGACTAATATTTATTAACGTAAATCCAAAAGTAGAAGTAACAAGAAACATGAATAATGAATTGATTGTTTTTATTTATACCATCATTTTGCCATATTTCCGATCTTGTATAAAAAATAAATTCAGAACAATCGTTATTTTGGAAAATAATTTATAACTTTTATGGTTTGATTGGAAAATTAAAGTAATAGTCGTTAAAACTTAAAACCATAAAACTGCATTAAATATAATGATTTTTTTTTGTTATATGACTTTTTTATTGCAACATTCTACTTTCATTTCTTCCTATAATCAGGTAGATTTTTCAAAAAAAAAAAATGAAATGAAAGTACATTGCTATTTCTTGCATTTAGTTTTTTAGAATTTAGATTTTAACTCTCCTTACCGTTCCACCACCAACACCCATCCCTTGTCTACTTGTCATAAAAGTGATGTTTCTCCATTTAGCAACATAGTGTACCTACAACATCAGTGTCTGACTTAGAGGTTTTTTGATAGTTGTTGACTGAGTCAGAAGCTGCTAAGTGTGGTATCAAACAGTCTGACGAGTTAGACCCAGTGAGAGGCATATCAAACAACCTGTTATATTTTCTTTACATATAATAGCAACTTACATACAATTCATTACTCATATTAGCAACATAGATACATTTCCTTACAGATGATAACAAATAATGTATAATTACCATATACGTAGAAAAAATTTGAATATATATATATATATATATATATATATATATATATATATATATATATATATATATATATATATATAAAAGTTTGTAATAAGAGATAAAAATATAAAATTGGGACACAAACCGTACTGCAACCCGAGATCCCTTTACAGCTTCAACTCCATTTCCAACCTTCAAATCATAGTACCTAAACAAAATTAACTTACAATATTAATTGTTTTTAATTAATTTTGACAATAATAAACGGAAGCGGAAAAATGGGCGTGTTGTGTAATTGGTTATAATGGGTCGGGTTGACCCACCAACAAGTTTTGTTAATATTTGGGCAAATTTCATAGGAAAAGAAACTTAAATTTTAGGTAATCTTGCGGTTTGACTTTGACCAATAGTACTTTTTTTTTTAATTGAACCATTTAAACAATTTCAGACATTTTTCTAAATTAGCGATTTTAGTTTTTGTATGTTCACAAAAGCTATAATACAAAATTGAATTTAATATGTTCACAAAAGCTAATGAACCCTTTATTTTATTTTTACTTGATAAATAATTAATGAATTTAATATGTTCACAAAAGCTATAATACAAAATGAAAATCTAAATAATAACACGATTAAGCATTTGAATACACTTTCGGCAACTTTCGACCCATTTCTTTTTTAGCTATTTAGTTTAGTAATTATAAATTATTATAAAACTTGTTATTAAACCAAAAATGGAAATTAATTGTTGTTTGTAGTTAATAAGTTACTAACTTTAGCCCATTGGGAAGGGTTGTGTATTCACTCTCAGGCACTTTTGCTCCCTTAAGCTGCAATAAAGATAATAAAACTTTTATAAATTGTATTAAATGATTTTGTGTATATAATTAATTAATTTATATATAATTAATAAAGATCTCACAGCTCTTCTACTTGTACTAACAGCATCAGCAACACCAGTGACACAAAAACCAGCAGCTGTTCATTGTAGAAATTAATTTTCAAGCATTAGGCACATAAACAATAAGTTAAGAAAAACCTTAAATTACTATATTACCCCTCCTTAAATAATCGATCGATAGGGTTACATTCTGATGCTAATAACCAAATCAATTGAGAAACCAGATTTAGGGTTCTATATGCAAATTAAAACCCTAATTAATTGCTCATCTTTTTAAGGGAAATGATATCAGTATCACAAATGTGAAGGAAAAAGAGAAGTAATTTACTGAATAAAGCAAAACCTGTGGCAAGAAAACAATTCATGAACGCTCTCCTCCCCTCAATTTGAAAAAATGGTGCATCTGTAGCGACAGAAGCTTCTGACGAAGATGATGAGCAATTACATGAGAATGCAATCCTAATTTTATGGGGCGATCCCTTTTCTGCAAATTAAAGGGAAACTCCTGAGACAGATAGACATAATCAATTATAAAAGAAAGCGAATAGGATAGGTGGATATACTTACTTGAAGTGGTAATGGAGGACAAAGAAGGGGTAAGGAGAGATGGTTTATAGGGGTAAAGAGAGAGTTCCATGGGAGTATTGGAGGTGAGTGTTACGAATTGGGAAGAACGAAGGAAAATTTTGGGATTTTTTTGAAGTGGTGTTTGTGCGTTTGTATGCATGAAACTATGAGAAGAGATTAGGAATTTAGGATAGTATCGTGAATATCATCCACATTTGTTGTGGTCTAAAAAAAAATAAAATACAAATAATAATAATAATAATAATAATAATAATAATAATAATTTTAGTGCTATATAATAGTTGGGTGTTTGGGAAAAAATAGTTTATTGTTTATTTTTATTAGTTTATTAGGCCAATTTTCTTAGATTGCTTAGAAGTATCTATATAGCTAAAATATGTTTTTTTTTTATGTATAACAATAATATTATTATTAAATTTGATATAATAATTTGTATACTAAGTGATATAATATATTAATTATTTTGAATTATATAATAATATATATCTATTAAAACTGCATAATCTCAATCTTATGAATAACCTTTATCTGTAGATTACTCATTAATAAAATTAAATAAAATATATGGTTTAATGTTATTTATGATTGTTGTTATTGATAATTAATTTTTTAAAAATTATTTGGTTAACGTTTTAAATTCTATCATTGTAAATATTTAAAACATCAAACAATTTTTTTTACTTTAAAGGTAAAAATATAATCATTTATATAGAGCTATTTTTAACTATTGTTATTATAAGTTGTTTTAAGCTATTTATTTGAAAATTTTTAACGATTATAAAAATATCTTTAACAAATATTTTAGTTAAATTGATATTACAATTTAGTTTTTATATTTAGCACTATAATTATCACTTTTTAACTATTCACAAAATATTATTTGGGTTTTTTAAGTGGAACTGAAATCTATATTTAAGTTGACCCTATAATATTATATTTATATTAATAATTTAAATATTTTATCGAAATTGTTCAAAAGTTGTAGCTTTAAACTGATAATGGTTTACACACAACAACATATTAAATCTAATAAATTAAATATAATATGTTAACAGTTAAAAACATAACTTTATAAGTAGAAATAAAAATATTATTTTAATATTGAAATTTAGTTTATTTATGATTACACTTTAGGTTTGATACTTACTTAACCTTATTAACCAATTTGAAGTCATTATTAGAAAGACACTATAATTTATCACTTTTAATAATTTACAAATATTCTTTAGGTTGTTTAAGTTGTACTAATATTTACATTTTAAGTTGATCCTATAAGGTTAAATTTAAATTAATAATTTAAGTATTTTATACAAATTGTTCAAAAGTTATAGCTTTAAAATGATAATGGTTTATGTACAACAATATATTAGACATAATAAATTAAGTATAATATATTAAAAGTTAAAAACATAAATTTATAAGTAGAAAAAAATATTCTTTTAATATTGAAATTTAGTTTATATATGATTACACTTTAAGTTTTTTATTTATTTAACCTTATTTACACATGAGTAAAATTAAATATAATATATGGCTTAATATTATTTATAGTTTTTGTTATTGTTAATTAATTTTTTAAAATTTATTTTCTTAACGTTTTAATTTCTATCATTATAATTATTTAAAACATCAGACATTGTTTTTTTATTTTAAAGATAACAATATAATCGTTTATATAAAGTTATTTTTAACTATTGTTATGTTAAGTTATTTTAAGCTATTTATTTGAAAACTTTTAACGATTATACAAATATCTTTAACAAATATTTTAGTTAAATTGAGATTATAATGTAGTTTTTGCATTTAGCACTACAATTTATCACTTTTAACTATTCACAAAATATTCATTGGGTTGTTAAGTGGAATTGAAATTTATATTTAAGTTGATAGTGTAATGTTATATTTAAATTAACACATTGGAGTTTCAAATGAATGCGGTGAAAGGAAAAATAAATGGGGGTTTCAAATTAATGTGGTGAAAGGAAAAATGTTTCCATTATAAGTATATAATGATAATGATTATTAAAAAGAAATTGAAAAGTCATGGGAGCTTGAAATGAATGTGGTGAAAGGAAAAATGAATGGGAGTTTCAAATAAATGTGGTGAAAGGAAAAAAAATGTTTCATTTATAAGTATACTAGGCGAATGTCTGCGCGTTGCACAGAAACACCTATATAGTTCAAATCTTTACAAATATATGTTTTATTAATTATAACAATAACGTCGTTTTTAAATTTGATATAATAATTCGTATACTAAATTGATATAATATATTTGATTATTTTGAATTATATGATAATATATACATCTATTATAATTGTATAATGTCAACCTTTTGAATGACTTCTACTCGCGAGTTACTCATGAATAAAATTAAATATAATATATGCCTTAATGATATTTATAGTTTTGTTATTGTTAATTAATTTTATAAAATTTATTTTCTTAACGTTTTAATTTCTATCATTATAATTAAGTAAAACATGAGACATTGTTTTTTTGATTTTAAAGATAACAATATATTCATTTATATAGAGTTATTTTTAACTATTGTTATTGTAAGTAATTTTAAGCTACTTATTTGAAAATTTTTAACGATTATATAAATATCTTTATGAAATATTTTATTTAAATTGAGATTATAATTTAGTTTTTGCATTTAGCACTGCAATTTATCACATTTAACTATTTACAAAATATTCATTGGGTTTTTTCAATGAAACTGAAATTTATATTTAAGTTGACACTGTAATGTTATATTTAAATTAACAGTTTAAGTATTTTGTCCAAACTTTTTCAAAAGTTGTAGCTTTAAATTGATAATGGTTTAAATACAACAACGTATTAAATCTAATAAATTAACTATAATATGTTAAAAGTTAAAGACATAACAATATAAATAGAAGTAAAAATATTATTTTAGTATTGAAATATAGTTATTTTATGATTACACTTAGGTGAACCTAAATCTTGTTATGCATATATTATATTGTTGGTTTCAATATTTATGTTATTTAAATTATGCATATATTACAAGTGATATTGTATGTGTCATTATGATGCAAATTTCAAATGATAACAAAAGGGGGTATAACGATAAAGGCAAAAACAAGGCCTAAGTGTCGGTTTTAGGTATAAGAGACTTGGTGATATCTTTGATACATTACATGAATGTTGGTAGATAACAACTTTTTAGGTTTGATCCAAACTTTGACTTTTCAGGCTTTATAGTTTTCTTGGTCTACTTTGATTGTGGTTTTGGTCCTTTTGAAAATTGAAAAGACTAAATTCTCGATACATTTTTTTAAATTTAATTTAATATTTTATTATCAATAAACATTAGGCCTCATCCTCTCTCTCTCCCTCTCTCTCTCTCATACACACATAAGAAGAACATTTACTCTCCCTCCCCCAACTCTCGATACATTACAGCTCCACCTAAGCTTAGGTACTAAACCTCTAAAATATGTCGTTTTAACTTGCTAAATATACCCGGTTTGGTTTCACTTAGTAAATATATCATCCTCCATAACATTTCTTTCTCTCATTATCGTTTAACCGTCTCTGTTTTCTTTCCTCCATTATCGTTTATTACTTCACCCAGGTGAACATTACTAAAACCTAAACCTAAACCCTAAACCCTAAACCCAATTGTGTCGATCTTGAATTTACATCTTGAATTATTAATCGTGAATCCATTAACCGTAATCTTTATATAGTAAAACAATGTATTTTCAAGAGGTTTAGTACCTAAGTTTAGGTGGGGCTGTAATGTATATTCCATTTTCCCATATATATATATATATATATATATATATATATATATATATATATATATATATATACACGAATATGATTACAAGATAACAATAATCCCTTATAATTAGGATCTATCTATACAACAGGATATATCATATATTCAAAACCTTTTACTTAATTTGTTTACATTCCCCCTCAATCTTAACTGTGACTAGGTTCAGATTGTGCGACTAGGTTCAGATTGTGCCTGAGACAATCCAACATATTGCGTGTTGCTCGCTTTGTAAATCTATTTGCATTTTGATCGTTTGAGGATCTGAAATGAACATCAAGAGCACCCATTGCCACCTTTTCTCTAACAAAGTGAAAATCAACTTCAATGTGTTTGGTTCGTGCATGAAAAACTAGATTAGCCGTTAAGTACGTAGCCCCCAAGTTATCACACCATAACACAGGTGGTCACATTTGACGAATACCAAGCTCCTTAAGTAAGGATTGTATCCATATAGCTTCTGCTATACCATTAGCTAAAGCCTTGTACTCAGCTTCTGTGCTGGACCGAGACACTGTGGGCTGTTTCCTTAAACTGCATGAAATGAAATTTGGGTCGAAAAATACTGCAAAACCTCCAATAGACCTTCGATAGTATAAGCAGCCTGCCAAATCCGCATCTGTGAATATACTCAAAAGTGTAGAGTTGGATTTCTGGATGCGAAGACCTATATTTGTCGTGCCTTTAACATATCTTAATATTCGTTTTACTACCTCCCAATGTACATTTGTAGGTTTCGAGAGGTATTGGAACACCTTATTTACAACAAAAGAAATATTTGGTCGTGTTAGGGTGAGATACTACATACCTCCTATCATGCTTCTGTATTTGAAAATTTCATCATCACTTAGTGGAGTTCCATAGTTAAGGGAAAGCTTTTCAATCACTGACATGGGAGTTGAAACACTTTTACAAATCAGCATGTTGGCACGTTTTAAAAGATCATATGCATATTTGTGTTGCATCAAGATAATTCCCCCTGAATTGTGAGCGAATTAAATTCCCAAGAAATAGCGAAGTTGACCAAGTTCTTTGAGAGGAAATGAGGAAGATAAGGCACGTAGTAGGTGATCGACTGCTTGTTGAGAGGAACCAACAATAACAATATCATCAACATAAACGAGCATATAGATAGTAGTGTCACCTTGATGAAATAGAAAGAGTGAACAGTTTGTCACTAAGCCGAGAGAACCAGGCTCTTGGTGATTGTTTAAGACCACAAAGTGCTTTGTTTAGTTTGCACACATGTTGGGGTCGCTTGGAATCCTCAAAAACAGGAGGGTGCTACATATAGACTTCCTCATTTAGAAACCCATGAAGAAAATCATTACCGGCATCAACCTGACGAAGGTGCCACCCACGAGAAACTGCTATAGAAAGAACCAAACTAACGGTTGCCGGTTTCACAA